GCAGCTGCTGGTGACCTTGGGCTACTCCACAACTTCTCTGAAGTCTCTCAGCTCACTCAACTTACAGTGTGTTTGTGGTGGGGAGGAAGGGAAAGGAGATTGTGAGCAGCTTTGAGACTCCTTAGGTTAGTGATAAAGCGGGATATCAAATCCAAACTCCTCCTCTTCATTGTCTTCTTCTTCTTCTTCTTCTTCTTCTTCTTCTTTTCTTCTTCTTCTTCTTCTTCTTCTTCTTCCATTAGGCAGGCAGTCTCCCCACCCCACCCCCTTCCCACTGCATCAATATGGAGATAGTGCTTCCCTTTGGTTTAAGCACTAGATGCTGGGAGTAAACATTTATTCATCCCACTGGTCACCCGTCTTGGTTCCTACTCGAACAGTACATGGACACTTCTACATAACTGTTGTTATTGTGTTTGTGATGTGCGTGGTTCATTCTGTCATGAATGTTTTAGCTGAGTTTCTTGCATTCAGGGGGTTGGACTAGATGTCCCTCGGGGTCCCTTTCAAACTCTATAATTCTATGATTCATTCAAAACCAATAAAATGTTTGTAAAAGGAAAAAGATGATGGTTAGATCCAGTGCCTTTTTCCTGGGGGCACGAAGGGGTACGCATACCCCTAAACTTTTTGTGGAATCTTTGTCGGAATCTCCGTTCGGCCAAGCCGATAAGGCCTCATCTTCCTCCGAGCTGAGCCTTGGAATCGCCTCCGACGTGTTTAGTGACCTGAGCCTTTTATAAGGCCTCAAGCACATTCTATCCAGCAGGGTTCCCAGCACAGGGAAGAGACGAGAGGTTTGGCTACATTGTAAAGAGTTTATTTCTAAACTACGAGAACAGAAAAGACATCCTCTCTCTATGAAAGCAGAGAGCAACTGAACAAAGGAACAAAGGAAACAGGAAACCACTAACGTCACATCCTGTCTCCCTTTTCCCGTGAGACTGCAAGGTCTCTGGAATGTAAACAGAGTCTGGGACTCCGCCACAGCTGCACAGTGAGAAACAGAAAACTAACATCCTCCCCCTTTCTGTGAACACCATCTGGGCAGCGTGTTAGTACATTATCAGTACAAAACCCAATTTCTGTACATAGGTACAGTGTTGATCCTTCGGAACAACCTTGGACAATAAATCATCAGGAATTTCATTTACCTGGCATGTAGGACACCGTTACGAGTCCTTTCTCAACACATTCTCTAGTATGTTGCAGCTTCAATTGCAAGTGCTTCGTGCTTTGCTTACAACCTTCAGAAGTCATAATCTGAATTGGACATTTGACAGGAATTCTCATGTCTTTACACAACTGTAACAACCATTCATAGGCACCGACTCCATGGGGCCTGAGGGGGCCCGAGCCCCCTCAAAAATTCGTTTGGGGGGCTCCGCCCCCCCAATAATCTCAGGCGCCCCTCCAGCAGAGCGCCACCGCCGCCCCTCCCCCAGCCCAAAATGCACAGGGTCGGGCTGCATGCCTCCTGCCCTCCCTCCCGAGCAAAAGCTCTACCCAATTTCCTTCGGAGCTGATTAATAGGCGCAGCACGCTCTCCCCTATTCGCTCACGAGGAAGCGGCGCCACTTTATCGGCATATTCATGAGCTTATTTATTATTCATGAGCTTTCGCGGGCTCCCCCAATATTTTTATAAGTCGGCGCCCCTGCAACCATTCACAATCCACAAGTGAATAAAACAATACATTCAGTTCAGCTTCACAAGAACTTAAACTACTGTTGTTTGCTTCATGCACGATCAATCAAATAGACCCTGGTTGTACATATAGCAAACTCCAGATGTGCTTTTCCCGTCTGCAGTGTCACTTCCAAAACTCGCATCAGCAAATATCTCAAGACCACCAGACTTCTGATTGTTAAATGTCAGTCTGTAATGCATAGTGCCTTTGAAATAGTGTGCTAAGTGTTCAGAGCTTTCCAATCCTTAACAGTAGGATTGTTGACTTGTCTGCTTAGCAAGTTACAGCTAACTGCAATGTCATGTCTTGAACATCTGGCAATGAAATTTAGTTTGCCTACCACACTTCTGTACAGTGTAGTGCCAGAAGATGCTCCTTCAGTGTCATCTACCTGATAACCTGTTGTCATTGGTGTGTCTACAGGGTTAGCACCCATCAGATTTAGCTTGGTTAACACATCAGCAATTTTAGGTGACTGGTGTACTAGGAATTAAAGCCGCATCACATGACGGACACTTCAAGATGGCGGGGGCTGCTGAGCAGACTGCCAGAGGTTACACCCCGGGGAAAGCTGAAACAGTATCCCAGACCATGCAGGGATGTGTTCCTGAAAACCGAAAGCTCCACAAAAGGGAGGCTTTTTGAGGAAGAGTGCACGAGGGGGGTGTTTCCTGTTCAGGGGGTGAAATCTCCAAAGCAGGAGGAGCAAGGGAGTTGGCTGCCACGTCATCCCAACCATCACTGCAACCAGCAGGTGGCACTGCTGTGTTTGAAGCAGTGGAAAGTTTTTCCTGTGAAATGTTTGGGCAGAGTCCAAACACCAGGATGATCTGCGCAGATGTGGTCACTAGCTGTTCCAGTACAAAGGCTAAGGCAAACCTTTGTGGAAGATGGAACTGGTTCACCATATTTACATCAAGAAGGGTCTGATCCACCAGTTGGGTGAAGACTCCTTGGAGGTGCAAAGTATTGTGGAGTCTGGCACACTTCCCTGTGTTCCATTCAGCTTTCTGGACTTGTAGCAGTGTGCACAGCGCAAGCCGCTTAGTGTATAAGCTTGCAGAAGATAAAGAGTCCACATGCTGTTGTTCTAAACTAGCAGCTTTATTTACAGCAGAACAGTAAAAATAAAGAAACCATCCGAGACAGCAGTTATCTTGCTTCCTTGCTTGGCAGCAAAAGCGAAAGTCAGACAGAACAAAGAAACAGCTTCTCCAGAAGTTGGAGACAGCTCCTCCCCAGAAAAGGCAGGACGATGGGTTCCCGAGCTGTTAAGCCTATAAGATCCGATTCCCATCACACCCCCTCTCGTCCTGCACTGCTGGGGGCTCGTAAGTTTCACCACTTACCCCAAACACAGACCTTTACAGAACTCCCCATGATGCTGAAAGCTCAAAGGTTTCATGACCCCATCTGCCAGGTTCTTCTGGCTTGGACACCAAGCCTAAACTGGATACTCTGACACACATTCTGGAAACGGATGTCTAGGTGTTTGGTTCTGGCCTTAAACTGCCCAGACTCTGCCAGCTTCAGACAGGGTTGATTGTCCTCCCACACCGTGACAGGCAAACAACAATCCCTGCAGATTTCTTGAACCAAACAAACATAGAATTCCAATTCCATGCAAAGCTCAGACAGCGCACTGAATTCAGCTTCAGTAAAGGAAAGCGCAATGAGACTTTGCTTCCGGGTGTGATGGCCTGGGATGCAGATTCAGATGCTGAACCTAAGGAATCCCAACCTGCACAGGATTCCCCACCTCCAGAACCAGCTGAGCCGGAGTTGGGGCATGAGCCTGAAGGGTCCTCACCTGTGCTGGATCCTCAGGTGCAGGCACCAGCTGAGTCTGCTCTGGCTTCTGAGGTGATGGAGGACCCATTGCCTGCAGGTGCTCCACTCTCAGCACCGTCAGAGGAAGCTAGGGTTGCCTCTGGGTCTGGCAACCCTCCAGCCTCTCCTGAGCTGCAGAGGCTTAGGGCAGAGAGGCAGAGGGAACTAAGTTCCCGCAGGAAGAGTGCTCGCCTCCTGGCCAGGAGAGGCGAGTCTTTTGAGGATCAGGGCCGCCCTATGCCTCGGGACATATAAAACGCAGCCAGCCCCAGTCCCAAGTTGCGGGGGCAACGTTGGTAGTTGTCAGTCCCTGCCTGAACCTGCCCTGCACACAGCTTCAACTTTAAGGGACTGCCTTCATATTGCTTCATCGACCACGGACTGGACTTAGACCTTGCCTCTTGATTAACCCCCGGGACCAGCACACCGGGACTTCCACCCAACCAGAGTCCCCAAACCTTACCACCATCCCAGATACGGACTTCCTGTTAGCCAGATTCGCCTAATTGCTATCTGTCCTGCACATCAGCTTGGCGTCACCTTTAGCTGACAGCTGGAGACAGAATACCATTCCAGGCACTCACACTCGGGTTTGTAGCTTCCCTGCTGAGCAGATTGGTAGCAAAAGCAATGTCCGGTCTGCTCCACTGGGACAGATACAACAGACTACCCAGAGCTGACTGAAAAATCTCAGCATTTTTGAACTCAGCGCATTCTACTTGCTGACTATGTTTCACATAACTTGTCTCCATGGGTGTCCTGACCCCTGCATTCAGACATCCTGAACTTCTCAAGCCGTGATGCTGACTTGAATAAAATATTGGTGGGGGGCCAGGTAAGGCCCTCCTTGCACAATCAATCACATGATACATGCACATTATTTGAATGGCAATGCCTATAATGGCAGTGATTTTTTTAAAAAAGTAATATTTTGAGCCCGTAGTTCAATTTCCAGCAGCTCCCCTTGCCCCAGAGAACACTTCTAGCCTTCCATCTCCCCTACCTGTGTCCATTTGGTATCATCCTTTCCAGGTTTTTCCCTGCCCCTTATGTTTGTCTTTCATTTGTTCTCCTGTGTGTGTTGCCAGTAGAAGCCACAATTCTGTGGGTACTCTAGGTGGTGCAGAAAACACCTAGAAGCTCCTTAGAGGTTCAAGTGCCGGTAAACTTCAGTTTTGTGACATGGGTCTCCAGCTGTTTTTGGACTACAACTCCCATCATCCCTAGCTAGCAGGACTAATGGGAAGGGATAACGGAAACTGTAGTCCAGGAGCTGATGGGAACCAAAGTTTGGGAAACCCTGCTTCAGAGCAACTTTTGCGTTTGGCCTGCAAATATGGGACCTGTCCACTTTTGTATTTTCTTGTATTTTGATTTTCTTGTGACCTTTGTACATTATTTATTTATTTATTTATTTATTTATAGAGGGAAAATTCAAAGAGAAATTGTATGGCAAGTTGTGGAAAAATAAAAGGTGTTTGGGGGGGAAACCCTGGGGCGTGGCCCCCTCAAATATTTTATTGGGGGACAAAGACCCCATGGGCTTTAAGAGTTGGTGCCTAGTCCCTACACCCACAGGTCTCAGGAATGTTACAACATAAAAACACAAGATAAAAACACAAAGCCGATGTTAATCAGCCAAAGGTGGAGATTTGTCTGGTTCCTAAAGATGTTTAATGGTTTTTCTGACCTTTGTATAGATTCTTTGATGGAAAGTGAGATTGGAGCTCCTCCAGAAGCTCTTTCCACATTCCACACACTAATATGTTTTCTCCACAGTATGAATTCTTTGATGCGAAGTGAGATTGGAGCTTTCAGTGAAGCTCTTTCCACATTCCACACACTGATAGGGTTTCTCCCCTAAATGAATTCTCTGATGCTTAGTGAGATCCGAGCTCGTACTGAAGCTCTTTCCACATTCCACACACTGATAGGGTTTCTCCCCTGTATGAATTCTCTGATGGAAAGTGAGACTGTACCTGTGACTGAAGCTCTTTCCACATTCCACACACTGATAGGGTTTCTCCCCAGTATGAATTCTTTGATGCGAAGTGAGAGTGGAGCTTTCAGTGAAGCTCTTTCCACATTCCACACACTGATAGGGTTTCTCCCCTAAATGAATTCTCTGATGCTTAGTGAGATCCGAGCTCGTACTGAAGCTCTTTCCACATTCCACACACTGATAGGGTTTCTCCCCAGTATGAATTCTGTGATGGGAAGTGAGACTGTACCTGTGACTGAAGCTCTTTCCACATTCCACACACTGATAGGGTTTCTCCCCTGTATGAATTCTCTGATGGGAAGTGAGATTGGAGCTCTGACTGAAGCTCTTTCCACATTCCACACACTGATAGGGTTTCTCCCCTGTATGAATTCTTTGATGGGAAGTGAGATCAGAGCTCTGACTGAAGCTCTTTCCACATTCCACACACTGATAGGGTTTCTGCCCTGTATGAATTCTTTGATGGGAAGTGAGAGAGGAGCTTTCAGTGAAGCTCTTTCCACATTCCACACACTGATAGGGTTTCTCCCCTGTATGAATTCTTTGATGGGAAGTGAGAGAGGAGCTTGTACTGAAGCTATTTCCACATTCCACACACTGATAGGGTTTCTCCCCAGTATGAATTCTTTGATGGGAAGTGAGAGAGGAGCTTTGACTGAAGCTCTTTCCACATTCCACACACTGATAGGGTTTCTCCCCAGTATGAATTCTTTGATGCGAAGTGAGTTTGGAGCTATAAGTGAAGCTCTTTCCACATTCCACACACTGATAGGGTTTCTCCCCAGTAGGAATTCTTTGATGGGAAGTGAGTTTAGAGCTCTTACTGAAGCTCTTTCCACATTCCGCAAACTGATAGGGTTTCTCCCCTGTATGAATTCTCTGATGGGAAGTGAGATCGGTGCTCCTACTGAAGCTCTTTCCACATTCCACGCATTGATAGGGTTTCTCCCCTGTATGAATTCTCTGATGCCTAGTGAGAGAGGAGCCCTGACTGAAGCTCTTTCCACATTCCATGCACTGATAGGGTTTCTCCCCTGTATGAATTCTCTGATGCTTAGTGAGATCCGAGCTCGAACTGAAGCTCTTTCCACTTTCCACACACTGATAGAGTTTCTTTCCAAGGATATTTTGTTGATGGGAAGTGGAATGGGAGCGCTGACTGCAGCTTTCTCCACACTCCAAATTTTCACGTGGCTTTTCCTCTCTGGGGATTTTATCGTGGTCACCTTTGTTCTTGATTTCATCATAATCTGCAATGGAGACAAAAAGGGATTAGAGCCTCAAGAACAAATGGAGAAGAAATTAAGGGAGTTCAGTGTGTGTTTCTTACCTTTGTTGTTTGTCAATAACCAACATATTTATTATCAGATTTTGTTGAGTTGTTGACTGCTGCTTTGTTTGCTATAGAGTAGTGGCCAAAATTGTGGAAGACTTTTGCAGAAAAGTGTATTTCAGAGGTTTGATGGCTCATAACACTGCTTCTTTTGGAGTAATATCATACAATTATGTATCAACAGAAATTGTTCATTTACCCATGTTCTATCTAATGTTATAGCCAAATAACCAGAAAAAGGAAGCACAACTTGCTTAGGTTGACTCTGTGTCTTTTTGTGGTTGGTTTTTTTTGTGTTCTTGTAAAACATAATAAAATTATAGAAATGGCACAAAGAGTTGACTGGTCATCCAGAAAGCAATGTAAAATTGTACTGTTTAATGAACAATGCTACAGTTATGAAGAAACTGATGAAAGATAGGAAAAACTTAACCAGACTGGCCATTATATATTTTTGAAGAGGTATCAGGAGACTTAGTCACTATAAAATCAGACCGGTAAAGGCAGGGAAAGGTGCACAAAGGCAAATAACGATGGACGAGTGGAGAGACTGTCCCTACATGACAGAAGAAAATCTTCTGGGTGTATACAAGATGACATGGCGCAATTTAATGTGAAGTTAAGTGCAAGGACTGGTCAAAATGTTATAATTCTAAGGAATAAGCCATTGTCATCTCACAAGCAAAGGTTGAAAAGATTAAACCCATGTTAACTGGACAGCTGAACAATGGAACAGTGTTATTTGGAGCGATGAGACCCAAATCTCATTGCTTGGTAGTGATGGCATAACATACACGAGGAGAAGAATCAGATAAGATTTACATCCACTTGCATTACACCGACCACGAAACACTCAGATATTGTGTTGATCTGGGGTTGTATGGCAGCAAAAGGTGTGGGCAAAATTTACATCATTAATGGGGATGTAAATGCCCTAAAATGCATAAATGAAAGACTTGCGCGCAAACTGAAGCGTTCCTCAGGTGATCTTTTCCCAGATGCTGAAGCACATTGTCAGGGAACTGCCCTCGGTTCAGGAGGGAGAGAGGAAAAGCCGAATGGATTACAGAGAGCCTCCAGGGATAGTGGGAAGTAGCTCCTCTTCAACGGAGGAGAATAAAGACGCCTCCAGTGGAGCGGCGCTGCAGGAGTCGGAAGAGGCAAGACAGTGCCAGGACAACTTGCCTGGGCAAAGTGGGGAGGAGAGGGGTCCTCTGTTACCCACACCCTCCTTGCGCAGAAAGCATCCGCGCAGAGAGGGGAGGCGCAGACTGGGAGTCAAGAAGCTGCTTTGCTGGGGAAAGTTTAGGAACCGCCCACTCACGGATTCTGCCAACGACTGAGCCAGCCACGGGAGAGTGGCGCTCCGGATGGATAAGGTTTATTTTGGCAGCAAAAGCAAGGCTTCACAGCTAAGCAGGGAGATATTTGCCTGCTTGCTCTCGAGCAACCCCTTGGAAACATTACACACACACACACACACATATATATATATATTCTATTTTATACTTCAACAGGATTCCGCTCCATGTCATGTTGCTGCTGTGTGCAAAAGGTTTCCACAATTTTGGCTACATAAATAGATCAGACTATTATTTATGTTTCATGTTTATATATGTGTTGGAATCCGCCCAGAGTGGCTTGGGCAACCCAGCCAAATGGGCAGGGTATAAATAAAAAATATTATTATTTGGATTTGTAACTGGCTTGGATTTGTAACTGGCTGACTGACCGAACCCAAAGAGTGCTCATCAATGGTTCCTCTTCATCCTGGAGAAGAGTGACTAATGGGGTGCCACAGGGTTCTGTCTTGGGCCCGGTCTTATTCAACATCTTTATCAACGACTTGGATGATGGACTCAAGGGCATCCTGATCAAATTTGCAGATGACACCAAACTGGGAGGGGTGGCTAACACCCCAGAGGACAGGATCACACTTCAAAACGACCTTGACAGATTAGAGAACTGGGCCAAAACAAACAAGATGAATTTTAAAAGGGAGAAATGTAAAGAATTGCACTTGGGCAAAAAAAAATGAGAGGCACAAATACAAGATGGGTGACACTTGGCTTGAGAGCAGTACATGTGAAAAGGATCTAGGAGTCTTGGTTGACCACAAACTTGACATGAGCCAACAGTGTGACGCGGCAGCTAAAAAAGCCAATGCAATTCTGGGCTGCATCAATAGGAGTATAGCATCTAGATCAAGGGAAGTAATAATGCCACTGTATTCTGCTCTGGTCAGACCTCACCTGGAGTACTGTGTCCAGTTCTGGGCACCACAATTCAAGAAGAACACTGACAAACTGGAACGTGTCCAGAGGAGGGCAACCAAAATGGTCAAAGGCCTGGAAACGATGCCTTATGAGGAACGGCTAAGGGAGCTGGGTATGTTTAGCCTGGAGAAGAGGAGGTTAAGGGGTGATATGATAGCCATGTTCAAATATATAAAAGGATGTCACACAGAGGAGGGAGAAAGGTTGTTTTCTGCTGCTCCAGAGAAGTGGACACGGAGCAATGGATCCAAACTACAAGAAAAAAGATTCCACCTAAACATTAGGAAGAACTTCCTGACAGTAAGAGCTGTTCGACAGTGGAATTTGCTGCCAAGGAGTTTGGTGGAGTCTCCTTCTTTGGAGGCCTTTAAGCAGAGGCTTGACAACCATATGTCAGGAGTGCTCTGATGGTGTTTCCTGCTTGGCAGGGGGTTGGACTCGATGGCCCTTGTGGTCTCTTCCAACTCTATGATTCTATGATTCTATGATTCTACTACAGTGTTACATTGATTTAAGAACAGTCCTGTTCTGGAAAAGATTAAGTTTGTAAACCATCTTCATCATCATCATCATCATCATCACTGCTACTACTACCTGAGATTCAATAAGTCTAGCTCTTCTCTGGGATGAATTTTGTTTGGCCCAACCATGGCATCCCCTCCATCTCCATTGTCAGTCATTTCTTTCATAGAATCATAGAGTTGGAAGAGACCACAAGGGCCATCGAGTCCAACCCCCTGCCAAGCAGGAAACACCATCAGAGCACTCCTGACATATGGTTGTCAAGCCTCTGCTTAAAGACCTCCAAAGTAGGAGACTCCACCACACTCCTTGGCAGCAAATTCCACTGTCAAACAGCTCTTACTGTCAGGAAGTTCTTCCTAATGTTTTTGATCAACCCAAGACTGACAGGAGCAAATACAAAACCAGAAAACCTGAAGCTCCACATTTCCTGGACTTGTAGCAGAGCGGCACAGTGAGTGCTGCTTGTGTGTGTGAGCTTGCAGAACTCAGGGTCCAATACACTGCTGTTCCTCTAAATTAGAAAGCTTTATTGTACGTACAGCAAGATAAACCATCGGAAGATGCAGACGTTGCGTCTTCCATGTCTCAGCAGAAAACGAAAGTCAGAAAGAACGAAGAAACAGCTTTCCTGGATGTTGAGAAAGCTCCTCCCCAGATGTAGGACACTCTGAGCTGTTAACCCTGTAAGCTCTAAACCTCACAACCTATCTTTCCTAACAATTCTGAAGCTGACATTGAAGATGGCCTGGGCAGTTCAGACCAGCCTGATCGTGGTAGAAAAGGAATAATTTGAGGAAGATTGTTCAAAGAAAAAACTGTAACTTACTGTTTATTGTGGGGGTGTTAGGTTCCCAGGTGTTATAGGGGGCGCTGTTGAGCTCTGTGAAAATATATGAGGTTGGTTCCATAGAGGTATGTTTTGAATTTCCAGGCTGATATGATGATCCCACAGGGAGCCTTACCAAGAGAGGCCACGATCCCACGAGTCTCCTCCATGACGTCCTTATGCAGAGCTCTCTGGTCAGGATCCAGGAACGCCCACTCCTCGTCCGTGAAACGAATGGTGACATCTTCCAAGCAGACTGGACCCTAAAAGAAAAAGGGAAATGTTCTCCTCTGAGACAGCAGAAATATGATCTGCTACACAATGCTCTGTTGTTTCCTTCCTGTAAATAATAATAATAATAATAATAATAATAATAATAATAATAATATATTTATACCCCGCCCATCTGGCTGGGTTGCGGTGTTGTTTCAATAGGATTGCTAGCTGCACATTTTATTTATGGATGCTTATTTTATTCTGCCTTTTAATTATGGGTATCCGTCTTTAAGCAAATAGGTGGTACTCCACCTTGTGGTTTTCAAGTCACTCTGCCTACACAAGCATTCCAGTTTTCCCGATGGAAGGATCCACTTTCTCCTCTCCTCGTGAGTTGTTCTAGGGAGGTTCCCTCCCAATTCCCTAGGGCCAAATTCAAGGGGTTCATGGGGGCATGGAGAGGGGGAGGGGGAGGGGAGGAATGGGGGGCAGGCTCCATTTTCCAGCGGATGGCGCTGGTTAGGTGAATCCAGGCCACTATTTGTTCTCATTTGTCCACTGCTTAGAAACCAATTTTTGCATTCAGTGATCAGTCTAGAATAAAGATAAGCCTATTTTGGATGGCCCCCTTCATGGATCACTGCCTTGCCGTGGCAAAGGGGCTTGAATAACTCAGAGAAGCTATGAGCTATGTGGTGCAGGGCCACCCAAGATGGACAGGTCATAGTGGAGAGTTTTGACCAAACGTGATCCACTTGGAGCAGGAACCGGTAAGCCACTCCAGTATCCCTGCCAAGAAAACTCCATGGACAAAGACAACAGGCATATAAAAGTTATGACGCCGGAAGATGAGCCCCTCAGGTCGGAAGGCGTCCAACATGCTACTGAGGAAGAGCGGAGGACA